GGAAACCAAGCAACTCACACTGATTCTTCCTCTTTATAAAAGTCATTTATGGCCCACTAAACTGCCTTCACCGCATAGTCGTAAAGCGATGTTTGAAGATTATTTTAAATTGAATTGATAAGAGGCGTTATCATCCTTTCAAGATCGCCTAGGCCGCTCTTATTGTGTTCGTGCAAAGCAGATGTTTGAACAAAGATTTTAAGTCTCATTTCACCAGCTTTGCGTCTGATGTGTTTCCAACAAATGGAGGGATCTACAGTTTATACGCCTGCCAGGGTTGGAGATTTGGTTTAACCAGCTTCCAAAATTATAAGAAATTTATTTTGTTCAGGTGCTTTATTCAGGTCATTATTCTCTTGAATTCTTTTTGAGTTTTTAGTGTTATGAAACTGTCTCAGACCACAGTTTTGAACGGTAGAAGTTATAGCTGCTATATCGGAAACCACCACTTTTCCTTATCAGGCTTCTTTTTCCAGACACTTTTGTTTGAATTGGATTCAATTTTCGAAATTCATCCATAATATTTTGTAGGCCCTTTTTATAATATGTAATTAATTAATTATAATATATGAAATTGGTTTGAATTTTTAACAAATCTAGATTGGGCAGATTAACGTTTGAAAGTATCAGGTGTACAACTTTGCTTCCGCCGTTTTTTTTCAAAAGCTTTATTGCGAGAAAGTGCTTACAGATATATTATTCAAAGTATTGTCCTTTGCTAGCAACAACTTTCTCCCATCTTACCGGCAATTTTCGAATCCCTGCTCGAAAAAAGGAGTCCTCTTTTGACGCTATCCATGAAGCAATCCATTTTTCCAATTCTTCGAAGGATTGAAAATGTTGATCTGCCAGGCCGTGTGCCATCGAACGGAATAGGTGGAAGTCAGAAGGGGCGACATCTGGGGAATACGGCGGGTGGGGCAAGACTTCCCATTTCAGCGTTTCCAGGTACTTTTTGACCACTTTTGCTCGATGTCCCTCGGTTTCAACTCGTACGGCACCCAGTTTCCTTCTTTCTGAATCATGCCCAGGGCCTTGAGACGTTTTGAAATGGCTTGCTGACTCACTCCCAACGATTCGGCAAGCTGTTCTTGGGTTTGGCACGAATCTTCATCAAGCAATGCTTCTAGTTGTTCATCTTTGAAGGTTTTTTCTCTTCCACCACCATGTTTGTCTTCGACATCGAAATCACCACTTTTAAAACGTTGAAACCACTCCCGACACGTTCTTTCACTCAGAGCAGCGTCACCGTAAGTTTCTGAGAGCATTCGATGAGCTTCAGCTGCACTTTTTTTCGAATTGTAACAGAAAAGTAAAACTTCCCGCAAATGGCGAGAATTCGGCACATAAACGGACATTTTCGAGTGTGAATAATACGATAACAAAAACAACTGTTACTAAATCGGCGATGACAATTCGTTAGACACTGTACACACTCAGCCGGTACAGCCTCCTATCGGAAAACGGCGGAAACAAAGTTGTACACCTGATATTCTGAATTTTACACAAAATGGATAACCGTGTGATGAAACACAAGAGCAAACAGCTGGTAAATCATTATTAACTTACCAAAAAGGTGTTTAACGGAATGACAACGCTTAGCTTATAGGGAAAACTATTTCCTGTTGCACCTGATGATTGAAAATTTGTCTTGTAATATTTCTTGATCTTGTTGGAATGCATGTTAGATACATATTAGATTAATACTTGTGATGATCATTTATATATGTATATTGATTGATATGTTAAGAATTTGTGTTATTATTCCATAAGAAATATGGAAAGCTTTAACTCTCAAAAATTAATTAGAATAAGGATAGTGAATTTCAGAAAATGGCTGGTATATTTCCAAACGTTTTAATATTTGTATAAATTCCCATAAGAATACCAGATATTTCTTTCATTCCTTCAATCTCTCTTTTAAAATTCGAAAATACAACGTTGAGCTAAAGCAGTGTCAAAGTCTCTTTCTACTCTACTTACGAGGTGTTCAAAAAATATCACGAATTTTGTACTTTTTCTAAAATTGTTTATTTATTCATGAATATCTATTTTGTTCCCTTCAAAGTAATCCCTATGAGATATTATACACTTGTGCCAACGGTTTTTCCAATCTTCGAATGACTTCAAAAAATCAATTTTTTTTTATCTTATTCAGCTCCTCTTTCGATGCCGTCTTTATCTCGTCAATCGTAGCGTAACGTCGTCCTTTCATGGGCCTCTTCAGTTTAGGGAACAAGAAAAAGTCACAGGGGGCCAGTTCTGGGAAATACGGTGCCTGCGGCATTATTAGTGTGTTGTTTTTGGCCAAAAAGTCGCGCACAAGCAACGATGTGTGAGCAGGGGCGTTATCGTGGTGCAAAAGCTAATTTTTGTTCTTCCACAAATCAGGGCGTTTCTGGCGGATTGCTTCGCGCAAATTGCGCTCAACTTGCAGGTAATATTTCTTATTGACCGTTCTACCCTGTGGCAATACCATTTTCTGCACTTCATTAATTTTTTCGTCTGTTGTTGAAGTGCTCGGGCGTCCGGCACGCTCTTCGTCGTTCACATCTTCTCGGCCTTCTGAGAACATTTTGTACCACCGATAAACGTTGCTTCGGTCCAAGATAGCTTCTCCGTATGCCACAGTCAACACTCGGAATGCATCCGCTCAACGCCACAAAAAAATCGAAATTCGATTATACGTAACCCGCGAAAATTCAAAATTCGTACTTCAACTGGTTATGATTTCATCATGGCATTGTAGAACGAATGTGCGAAAAATATCAGTCATACATAAAAATAGAAATGACATAGAATTTTTAAATTATTTGAAAACAGACTATTTGAGTTAACGTCTTTTATTACACGTGAGTTAAAAAATGATAACTTCAATAACTTTCGACCCGGAAAATGCAGATAGACTCCGATAAGGCGGAAAAAACGTTTTACGGGTTATGTCTATTAAAAAATCGCAGGAAATATTCTTATTTCCAGATCTTTTTGTCAAATGTCCACAGAAATGAAACAAAGAATAAAATTTTTTGTGAAAATAAAAAGCTTCTAAAAATTAAAAATTTTTCACTCAACAGTTCTTTCATGTTGCCCACCAGCCGTAAGGAATTCAGTAAGTACGTGTACCTTCAGTTAACAACAACAAATAGCGTTCCTGTTTGAGATTTTCACAACGGAAATTTTACACTAATGGGCCTATTCTCACTGTTACCGGTAAAGTAAATTTTGTTACTTTTCTTTAACACCCGAAATTGAATTTGCTATTTTGGCGAACTGGTTACAATATTTGAAAAAAATTTGGCCGCAATGCTTTTTTCGTCCATGTCAAATTACATTTGCCAGTTGATAAAGTAAAAAGAAAAATATTCACATCAAAATGGAAGGCGGTGCACAAAAAAATTAAAAATTTTTAGTAATTTGTTTATTAAATCATAAATATTTGAACTTAATTATGAAAATAATGCCTGAAAAACAAAAAAAGCTGAATGAAAACGTTATCTTACAAATTAAAGAACTATTTTTTAGTCCCGAAAACTTCCTAAATTACGGCTTTTTGCACATTTTTCTTTATCTTCAATGAATTCCAGACTTAAAATATGCCTACCCGTTTTGGTTTTTTATTTCTTTCTCAAACTTACAATACAAAATCAAGCAGCAGATATTTTTGTTACCCCCTATTTCGCTGGTAACAAAATTTACAGGGTAACAGTGAGCTCAGAATACGAAATGGTAACAAAATTTACTGAATGGTAAATTTTAATACCTAGGTAAATTTTGTTATCCCGACAGAATAGGCCTGTAAGCATAACATACAAGTGGATATTATATGAAAATCGCTTAACATTGTAAGAAAAGCGTACAAACTGTCGCCAAGCTCCATGAAACCGAAGCCTTCAGCGGTTTACGCAAGAGAAAAGTGCGTTAGAAATTAATAAAAATAATATGTGCATTCCTACATTATACATTTTCGATATCAATGACACATCTTCATTCGTTATGTTTCAAAATATCTACATATGTACATATGTAATTATTTGAATATATTGAAAATACAAATTTTTTGTGTATATTTGAATTTTTCTTTCTAAAACTGTGGTGTTTGAATTTTTAGTGGTTTCTAAAGTGTGTGTGTTGTAAACCGATTCGCAAAATTGTTTAGTTTATCTATGTATGTATGCAGATAAAAATCTTTATTTTCTTTTTATTGTTTTTGTGCGGAAATAGCAACCAAAGGTATGTTAATAAATTTAAATCAGTTTGTAAGACAGATGAAAACTATAATTAAGTAGAGAAACTAATGAAATAAATCGATTAATTTGTCCTGATATGAATTAAAGGGTTGCATGCATAAAGTTGCTCAAACTCATAAAAAAGGTACTTGTAGCTTAACAAAGGGGCACCGGTGCCCGTTTTCGACACAACTAGTTTACTCTCCTTTCTTGAGATGTGTGCAATACTAACTATTCTTGGTGGTGAATGTTGCTTTGAAGTTTTCGATGTCATACCCGCCGGCGGAAGTAGAGGAAGAGGAAGACCTTTACACTTTTGGAAAGACCAGTTGGAGACATAACTAGATTTTCTTGATATTTCCAATTGGCGCCAAAAGCGAAAAAAAAGAAATGAATGTCGCAAAGTTTTTAATTCGGCTGTAACCGCGTAAGCGGTGTCTATGCCATTGAAGAAGAGTAAGAATGCCCATTACTAAATATCCGGTTTTCTCAAATAGCTCCCTACCGTTTGTTTCTGTGGTTTCTGAAAAGGACACAGGAATGGCCAATTCGAAAAAAACCTTGGCTTACTTGAAATTCGGTACATAGGTGGATTTTCACTTAGATTAATATGAAGACGGCTCTTATCTCCGGGAAGTTGAAAAGGTACTTACTGTTATTCCATTCAATAAAAATACGGTATAAAAGTGGATTTTTGTGAAAAAAAGTATTAATCGTTTTTCTTGCTTGGAAAGTGGTTTTCGGAAAGTGAATCGTTGTTTTTTTTATTATAAGTACGCGGTTACGATCTACCTACCTTCAACTTGTGTGTGAATAAGCATTGATCCGAATGGGGCGTTTGGCTCACCTCTAGACAATTATATTGCCATTTGAGCAGCGAAGAAGTGACCCAGACATACAAATAAGTATAAATATAATTCTTACGTTCTTCATACCTCTAAAAGTTACCGGCCACTGCCTCACATCTCTCGATCAACACCGACGAGATCAATGCTTGCCTAAAATACTCCAGGTTGTGGCGACATGTACAAAGCCTGTAATCAACCACCAATATGCGTGTCAACCTACAAATTGAACCATCGATAATTTTTGTAATTTAGTTATATATAAAAAGAAGAAGTGATCCAGGAAGTGTGCCCAAACTAAGATATCTACGATCTCAACCACACGAATGTAGTACAACAATGGAAGCCAATGCGTCACATATAAATCTCTGGATCTGGAGTCTTGCGCACGTTGGTTGGAATGGCAGTTTCAATATCTTATTTATGTAAGTTTATTTTTGGATAATCGCATATTACGAGGTGTGACAATTAAGTAATGAGACTGATTATATTGCCACGATTGTGACAACCCTGCTACCTTGAAATTCCCCTTCCCTTCACCCGGCACCCTTCTCCACCTATTGATATATTTGTCAACGCTCGTAACTCGTTTAGTTCGCCTACTGTGTCGTGTTGAGTAAACGTGTGTTCGTGGTGCTCGTCAGGATCACGAATGGAAAACCGAAACCGCGATAAAATTTTGCGCCAGATTGGGCGAAACAGCTTCGGAAACGTACGCTAAAATTGTAAAAGTGCATGGTGATAGTGCTCTTAGCCGTGTCCAGGTGTTTCGATGGCATACAGAGTTAAAGGAAGGGCGCGAAAGCATGGAAGACAAGGCGACCAGGATAACGGAAGTACACAAATAATATCTTCCACCGTGGCAAAAAGTAAATCAAATCTACCATCGCCATGCACTCGAAAGATAGCGAAAACGTGTCAACAGAGTGCGCCCGGACATCGCTCGTAACTGGATCCTTCAGCACGACAACGCGCCGTCCACCCTCCCCCGCCCTCAGCGTGTCCCAATATTTGGCTTCTAAAGGGATCGCGTTGCTCAACAACCGCCTTATTCGCCCGATATGTCATCCTGTAATTGTTTTTGTTATCTAGAACGAACTCGTTGGTCAAAAGAACTCATTTTGAGACGATTGAGGTCATCCAGGAGGCCGTGAAGGGGGTAATCGCGGACATCCCAGAAATGTTACGAAGCGTGGAAAACGCGCTGGAATCGTTGTATAGCTGCATAAGGGGACTACTTTGAAGGGGATGGCAGAGTTGTAGAATAATTTTGAAATATACGGCTTTTTATGGAATCAGTCTCATTACTTAATTGTCACACCTCGTATGTCAGTCGAAACTTTAAACAGTAGTGAAATATAACTACGTATTTTTCGAATGCATTTGACTCCAATAATTATTTCGTAGTAGGAAGTTTTTCATTTTGCCTATTTGTTTATTTATTTATTTAATTATTTTTCTCCTTTAGTACATACTTAAACCTTAAATTAATTAATAATATTTTTTATTTATTCTTTTTTATATTATTGTTTTTAACTATGTCTTGTACATTCCCTAACTATGCTCTGTCGTTTGAGGGCTTTGTTATGGGCTAACTCATCAAAAATGTGCCGGATCGACCTGGATTATTGTTGACGCTTTTAGCGATGGCAGAGGTCTACGGTCTCGACTGAAGTAGATTTATTTAAACTGTTTCATCAAACACGTAATTGGTTTAGTGAAATAGGTTGTGAACTAGCCACCCTTCAAATTGATTTAATAAACCTGTCGTCACCTTGTCCCCTTCTAGAGAATCCCTCAAGATCTAAAAGGTGGACTAACCCCAATAAATGAATCTATAATAAAACATTAGAATAAAGACTAAATTTTAACAAAGTATGTGTAAATGAATACAAGTAGGCGGCCACAATAGCCGTGGGGTTAGCATTGAGTACTGCCATTCAGAAGGCCCGGATTCGAGTTCTGGTTCAACCAAAATACAAATTATAGCAATTTAATTTTTAATTTACGGTCGCCTCTTGGTATGAAATGTCAAGCTCTCCAAGTGTATGTCTGATATGAAAAAAAAGCTCCTCTTTAAAATCGATTGGCCATTCGGAGGCGGCTTAGAACAAACTATAGGCCTCGCCCTTTCCCCTGCTTTCATATGTACATTTAGAGATGCGAGCTGATAGTATGTGACGTCAGCCTATACTGAAATACTCAAATGATCGGAAACCTTTTTGTAGGGACAGTTTACTAAGGGCTAAAATAGTGACAAATGGTGTCCGAAGATCTTAAGTACATTACGGAGGTCTAAAAATGATAATGGTCAAGATTCAGAATTTGACGACATTGTCCATCAAAAATGAATTAGAAGGGAGAAAATTTTCTACCTCCGATAATAAGGCAGAGCTAAGCTGAAAGGGGTGTAGACAAGCTTCTGGATATGCTGTTACAGTTACAAGGCTACACTCAATTCCTACACTGGCGTCAACTTCGCGCACTCTGGAATCGTGATCACCCCATGTGCAGGATGCATTAACCAACCCGTGTAGAGCCTTGGGTCACGGCTAATGAGAGAGGAAGCTTCAGTGGAGCCATTCCGACATACTCGGTTTAAGGGTCCGCTCAAGTCATTGCTGCGTCGGTTCACCAGAGGTGGGGTTGTGTGCTGGGCTTGGGACCTGTGGAGTTTGGTCTTCGTTCGCCGAGAGAGGATTTTACTATTCGATTGCCTACTAAGTCCAAAGTTGCACCTGGTTGGGAGAGTGATTTCGTGTTGAATTTCAAGGATGACATTATTATTGGTGTTGATGCTGGTTCCAAAGAAGTTGTCTACGACTTCAAAGTTAAGACTGCCAACAGTGCCATGAGAGCCGAGTCGCGAATGCGATGAATATTTCTTTGATGACAGGAAATATTTCGTCTTGCCCTCATTCACTACCAGACCCATTTGCTTCGCTTCTTTATCGAATCTGGAGAAAGCAGAGCTAACGGTGCGGTTGTTAAGGCCTATGATATCAATGCCGATAATACGCTAGTAGTTGTACACTCTTATAGAAGATTGTACCTTTTCTATTTAGCTCTGCAGCTCTTATTATTTTCTCCAGCATTTAATTGAAGAAATCACACCATAAAGACTCACCCTTTCTGAAACCTGTCTCGATACCGAACGGCTCGGAATGGTCCTTCCCAATTCTGACTGCGCTTTTGGTGCTGTCCAGCTTCAGTTTACACAGCCGTATAAGTTTTGCGTCTGCTTTCGTAGGCTGCTTTAAAGTCGACGAAGAGGTGGCGTGTTGATCCTCTTTTCATAGATCTTTTTCAAGATTTCGTGCAAGGAGAATATCTAGTCAATGGTTGAATTACACGGTCGGAAGCCATACTGATTAGATCTCTTGAGATTTGATCTGTTTGACGTGGAACCTTCCTTGTGTTTGTTGACGGACTTCGATCTGGTTTTGTGTTCTTAGTGCTATTAAATGAGAGTTCCACCATGGGACGCCTGTTCTTCCTGAGGCTTCGATATCTTCCAGATTAAATTAAATGTTTTTTTGGTATGTTATTATTTAAGTATTCTACCTTCTGCTCTAACTATGGGGAGTTACTTGCTTTTGTTATTTCTTCTCTGTTAAGGTTTAAGTCTATCGAATGTCATAGACGGTTCCGACAAAACCACCCACTGTGAGATTATATTTTCAGGCCAAGTGTTTCCTATTGTTGTATGTAGTGCATCTTTCCTGTTTCACGTTATTGTTGTGCAGGCCATTGCTTATCATGAATTCTAATGTTGTTGTTGGTGCTGACAACTGTGCGAGTTTGCATCGCATTGCAATTGTTATTTAGATTGTCCTCTTCTGCAGTTGGTAGGATGTTGCTGTCTCCAGTAAGCGGATGCAACTATAATATTTTCTTTTCTTCCTTCTTCTCTCGTGGTAAGTTGTATTGGTACCATATATCCCCTTAGATACAAATTCAGAAATACAAAGCTAGTTCATATTTCTGTTGAGTATGATACATGTTCTAGGGTTATCACACGTCATTCGTCTTTGCCCGTGTGCTCCTTGAAATGGGAGAGTACCAGTCCCTCACTGTTACATCTATATTTCATGAGGATCAGGTCTCCTGCCAGTTCCTCCAATTCTCTCGCCGAAGGGATTTTGTCTGTTGCTACGCTTGTTGCCTGACGGTTATCTTTCGATAAATTGTCTTGGGGGGTCAGCCCTTTCTACTACTCCCACGACATCTGCTAAATCTATTTGGGTTTCTTCTTCTTGCGCTTCCGATCGCTATGGTTTGTAAATTATACTTCCGAACCTGAAGTTGAGTCTGAAGATGTTCCTCGATATGTGGTTAAACGACTCATCATCCACACAGAGATCTTCGTTTTTCGCCTGCAGTAGGTTTAACGCGAATGCTTGTTCACATTTCGAGGAAGTTGGTTGACTCACTTTAGTGGTCAGTTCTACTCGCGAACGTCCGCTCAATTTAGACGCTGCCTTAGTGAGCCATTCGGCTGTGCTTCTATCTTTACAGCGAGTTTTTAGTCTGAGCGATTTTTTCCTAGCCGTTTACTACTTCATCCATTATGACGCCTCAGAAGTCGGTCACTGCTACCCTGACAGCGTTTCTAGCTTCAGCATAGCTGTGCCCATGTCCAGGCCTTAATACTTGCTGCTTCAGAGTTGCTGATCCCTTCTGTTGGTTCACTTGGGAGGTCGGCTTTGAGGATTGATTATCTGTTGGAGTTATTTGCGCACTAGTGCGAGCTGACTCTGGACTCTTTCAAAATTTTTTAGGTATCTAAAAACTCTTGCTCCGCTCATTTCATGCTTTCTCCTGTCGTCCTGTGCGCTGGGGCGCACTTGCTCTGGCACCTCGGATCTTTGCTCTCTAGACATACCATCGGTTTTTTTTTTGTTATTTTTGGCGAGATGTGTATATCTTTATGTTCTTTTTGCTATCTATGGTAACATCCCAATGGGAACTGCTTGCACAGCAAGGCATTATGCTCCTTAACTCGTAGCATAGAGGCTTCGCTGTGCAGGTGATGCTCCGTCGACATCAGGAGGTTTCCTATCGTGGTCCTGAGAGCAGTGTTCTGACAAACCTATAACTTCTCATCAGCGTCTCGTTCGAGCTTTGTAAAGTGTGACTCTCAAAATATTGCGGTTGCGTCGTCAACCTTCATATATAATTCGAGTCTGTATTCCTTCCAGCTTGTGAAGAGAGTAGCCGAGGATTTCGTCCATTGTATTTGTTGTTGTCTTGCAGTAAAGATGTAGGACAGGTCGGTGAGATAGCAATTCACTTTCGAACAAATCGTGCAATCATCGGCATACGAGGTTAGGGAAACTCCTTCTTATGGGTGGAGATATGTAGAAATTAAACAAGTGGGGAGAGGAGACCATCCTGTGGAACCCCTGTTTAATTTTTCTAAGTTCCAATGTTTCACCACCATACCCGTTTTCCACACGTCGGGTATCATTAGGGTGGTCAACGATAAGTTGATGAGCTCGGTGATGAAGTCTGCTCCCTCTGGTCCAATGTGTTTTAGCATCAGCATGCTTATTCCATCAGGCCGATGGATTTGGAGACTTTCGCCTTCCCAATGTCCACCTGAACCTCTCCCCTTGAGAAATCAAGTGCTGCGGTGGTGTTTGGCAGTTTGCGCAGGCGGCGGGTTTGACGTCGCTTCGTTATGTCTACCGATGCATGCAGTGTAAAGTAGCGCAACACGTCGGGGCTTGCCGAGATGAAGCGGATTGCAGCGGCCACGACAATCCAGCGGAATAAACGTTCACTAACCAAACGGTTTTCGCCTCTGAGTAGCGATATATCAGGGCTGTATCCAACAAGGCAACTAGAAACTGGAGGAATGCATATATTAAATATTTCAAGCTCGACAAAGACTGACCGGATAGCTATGCCCTGACATTCTAGTCTAGTGTACTTGCGGTCGATGATGAAAAGACGATACAGCACGGTATTGGGTAGGATGAACGCTAAGCCCCCAACATGGCCTCGCAAGGTCTCTGCTAATGTTGTATACGGCCAGGCTCAGAAGATCTGAGCTGCAGTCAACTTCCTTTTGTGAATCGCAGCAATTGACAGGTACTCCCGACTTATGTAGTCGACTATCTGGAGGAACTTTCCCTGGAGTCCGTAGCAATTAACGTGTAGGAGTCGAGTTTTTCTCGGGGGGACGTTCGTGATTCGGGGGTTTAGATAGTAATCTGGGGATGTAGTAAGGGATTACTGTATTACCCGCTGGTTTGGATGTCGACATTGGCGTTGTTGTAGATACAGGCTGGGTAGACTCCTGCATCACGGGGCAGCGTACGTATCACCCCGCTCACGGGTGATGCGTAGTCCAAAGCACGCCCGAAAATGACACCAACCAGAGAAAGATTTGCACCTGATTGAGGTCATGTTACGAAGTACTTCGGTTTAACACACGCATAATGTATATATTAGGTGAAGCTCAGGTGGTAGCTCTGGGTGAGAAATTTGGAAATGGTGCGCTATGTCTGAATTTGGTATCACCCCAAAGACTTAATAGCTGCGTGAACTGACCTCAAGTAACACTAAAACCTCTATCAGGATACCAAACGAGGTTTCAGACAGGGTTATTCCTTATAAGGAAGCGAAGGATATGGTTCTGGTAGTGAACGAGGGCAAGGCGAAATATCAGTCATCGCAGTCGCTGCTCCGCTCCAAGTAATTTAACAGGTCCGACGCACTATGGCCTGACAAACGGAACATACTGTGCAGGGCACTGGAAGCTCGAAAGTCCCAACGCGGGAGGAAGAGTTGCAGCTGGTCGTAGATGGAGATTGTTGGGTAGAATGAGAATCATGCTGCGATGAGCTACTTGAGACCATAGGGGTCTGTTGGTTACCCAAAGTAGGTAAAGGTGCTGATGTTAAATAATACCTTGCCTTGTAGGCTAGGGGCGTGCTCTGGCGCTGGCAGCTTGGAAATACGTAACCGTTAACCTAATCCGGGTTCCGTGCTTGGTGACTAAGATCAATAGTTGGCTGACTAGCTTGACACCTTATCCGTCAACTTTATTTTGGTGGATAGGATTGATGAGCAAGCTGTTAAGCTCCCACACCAACCACAAGGCATTTAATATAGAGGAGGTGGCGAACTACATAATTCTCCATACAATTTTTTTGTTGCGATTTACGCCAAATGAGGTTAGATATTCTACATCAAATCGATGGCTTCTAAAATTTGCATTGAAATCGGCTAAGAGGATATTTTGCGCTGTTAATTGACGAAAAATTAAGTAATACAGCATTCCACGACAGCCCAATTACGTTTTTCGCTTTCTCAATCGTAATTCGCAGTCCAAATATTTAATTCGCCATACAAATTTTCGTTAGCGAATTACAGTGAAAGTGGGTAATTCGTTCTCAATCGACATGCGAGTTACGACCAAATCGATGCCTTCTCTAATACTTATCGAAATTTTATCGAAACTTACTGACAAATCAAAACATATAAGATAAAAATCATGAAAGGAAAAACTAATACACAAATATTTATATCCAAATTGTATCCAAATTATTTGTATATGAGAGAAGAAAGAAATTCGAAATTATTAAAGAAGCTGGCATCACATTACAGTTCAATTCAAGATTTTCCCTAACTTCCACTAAAATCTTACATTTTTTATGCGTTTTCAAATGGAATAAACAAGCGAAACTGAAAAGTGTCAACTGCGTGCCGTGTGAATGGATGTAATTCGCATTCGTAATAGAGAGAGCGAAACACGTAATGGAACTGTCATGGAAGTGCCGTATTACGTGTTTTGCTCTCTCAATCATTATTCGCAGTACAAATACATGCCGAATTATTTAATTCGCCATACAAATTTTCATCAGTGAATGAGCGATGCCTTGGAATAATTCGCCTCGATTGAAACAAAATAGTCGATTGTATCTAAGGCATCGAAGCTTCACTTCCATTCCTAGTCAGTAGCAGAAATATTGTCCATTATAAGACGCTGAAAATTGTATCGTGTGATAATTGTGTATTTCCATAAAATTTGAAACATTTATATAAATTACAACGTCTTGCAGTGAAACTTGTCAATCTCTTCTCGAAGGTATAATACAGCATACATATTTGAATAAGGTTTTACTATTATTATTGTTTGTAGTTAGCTTTTAATAACGAGTTTTGGACTAGTATTTCTATTGCGGATAATCGATATTCTCTTTGGTTAACAATGTGTATGTATGTATGTATGTGCAAATTTCACAGTTGAATGTCTAAATTATATGTACAATACAATTTGAAAAAAAAAATTTTAACTAGTGCTTGTAAAAAGTGTTGGCGCTCATTTCAATATCAGATAATTGTTTTTGAAATACATGATACAAAAATTTTATGAAGTATATTTAAGACAATTTTTTGGACGACGTGTTTACTGATGAATATTCTCATAAAATATTCAAGTAAAAAATTTTTTCTTATTAGGGGTGTTTTAGGCCGAAAATGTTGTCGATACTGTATACGTATGAACGCATGTCTGTGAGAATCTTTAGAAAAGTATAACGCGAAGTTGGGGGTGGGGGCACTTTCAACGCGCCATATGTTAAAGTCCATGAATTAAGCTTTTGATAAATATAACTACAGCCCTAAGGGGCTGTCACTTTCAATGCTTAAAATAGAAAAAGAAAAAAATTCGTAAAAATATTAGAAAATACCGTCTTGAAAGGTTATTTTAGAACAGGTAACGCAGCGATTAATTACATTTATGCAAATATTTTTCTTGGGCGAACCAACACCGGCTTCTTAAGTAAAACACCATTATAATTTGGCGGCCATTGGCTGCGCGTGAAACAAATAACCTGAGACGGATGAACACCGGTATCGCGTTGCACCGTATTCTTAAGAGAAATTTATTTATATTTTGATATTATGAATTTTTTTTTTTTCATTTTCTTAACTTTTAGCTAAATATTCTACAAAAGCCGCAAAAGGCTAGAAATTTTAGTAGAACATGAAAAATTTGCCGGACTGTCATTTTTTTTTTTTTTTTTTTTAGAAAAACTACCACCACCCACTGGGATTAAATCCGCTTCGTATGAGTGCCGGCCGATGCCACAAATGAGTTTTCATGATCAATGTTGTTCACAAGCCTTTCTCAATCATGCCCTTCACCTCTGCCCCCTGAAAAAATAATAAAAATTTTAACAACAATTTTTATATATTTATATAAATTTACTATTGCCTTTGTTGTACTTTCGCTTGCCAAACTTGCTTTCGTTGATCTGCACTATATTGCTCGGACCACTGATTATCCCCCTTAGCCTCTTCGTGGTTCAACTGGTAAATGACTACTCGGCAAAAGCCAAACAGTTTGGCGTATGCAAACATCAGGTAAAACACTTGATAGTACCTAAGTTTAAAATTCTCTAAACAAGTCCTTGAAGCCTTAAAAATCAAAAACATTTGCTTCTGTAACCCATTTGTGTTTAATGGACGGCACACAACATTCTTTTTAACTGATGAAATAACCTTAGTAAGCTCTGTGAATTGCTATCATCTAAAAATGCAGTGATAGAAATGCATTATCATGCATTTACTCGTATTATTCTTAATAATTTTATGTATCATGTGCTGTTAAAGTGTTGCTACATATTTTTATTTTTCCAAAAAAAAATAAAAAATTACACACATACGATTTTTTTCAAAACCCATTATTTTTATTAAAATCCGAATTGTAATATAAAAAACAATCATATAGCACCTTGAAAAATATTAATATAATATATTAAAAGAGCGTTATGGTAACGAACACATCACCATTAATTTAGGCTTGTTAGGTTATGTTGCTTTTATTTTGCTCTAATTTTCTTCGTAATACAATGAATAAATACAATTTAGAATTAAGTATCACTTCGAAGCAGATAATTTATCTTTAAAATTTGTATTAAATAATCGTAATAAATAATTTTAATTTCAATAAAAAATTTACTAAAAAAAAAATTGCGTGCGAGTGTAAAACTATCATATCTGTTTGTCTATATATGTGTGTATATGTGTTTGAGGTATGTGCAACATTTAAACATCTATCTCTTGTAGTTTATTTTTATTATGTTTACTACTCAATATACATATATGCTCAACATAAGCTGTATTCGTTGAGAAATGCCAGTAAAAATTCGCCAGTAACGAAATTGAGAGAGTAAGATGTCTTACTCTCCCAAAGAAAGAAATTTTTTGAGTTTTCAACCAACAAGATTCAATAAAAAGTAACCAGCAAGTTGTACAACACCTGTTTAGGGGTTAAATTTGAACCCCTTCATTCATTTTTTCTACTTTAAAGTATTTTAATGAAATCGGCAACTATCTGAAATCTTTAAATTATTAATTGTATTCAAGTTTTATTGTGTGTATTTCAGCAATTATGAAATCGTACATACGTAACCAATATGATTTTTCGAATAGTTTTCTACAAGGTCGAAGATTTATGTATATTTTAGATTTTCAGTAAGGATGATTGAAATAAGAAAATGAGTTTGGAATTATTCTGCAGTGTAACCCGTAAATATTAACTGCCTATTATTATAGAGTTTCTTCGATTCTTTTAAGTGAAATCCAAAAAAGTGTTATATTTTGCCTTCTAAACACGGCAGCGGTCGCGTGTAATCAAAAAGACCAATCGTATTTTTTAGAGAAGTAAAACACAAAGTATAAATATAATATAAAATATACGATTATTAGTATTTTATATTTAGATATATTATTATTGTGTTTAGGCTCTATGCAGGTGCAAATGTGCATATGTATGAATGTTATTACGGATGTTCAATAAAATTTATAATTGGGTAGAGTACATTTTTATTTACTAATTTATTATATTAAACCATAACCATATAACAATATTGCTTTTCGGATATGTACTTCTGAAAGCACAAGGATTGATGTAAAAATTGGTTTACAAAATTTTGTCGATGTTTTTTTTTTTAGAAAGCATGATTGATATGCAGAAACGAATTCAGATGAATTCACTTTCTGAAGCTAATTATTATTATTATCATTGATAATCAATTTTGACAGTAGTAACCACCTTGCTTCGCAATGTTTAGCGGCTCGTTTGCTCGGCTCTGCTTTCTAGTAAATATAAAATATCTAAATTGTATTTGACAAAATAAAGATAAATATTATAATTCTACGCCTTCTATATTTAATCACATCGAATTCTTCAATGTAGGCTGTGTGCTGTGCGGACGTTGATTTCACTCTACAGTTTCACCATTCTTTTCATGTAACTAGGATCTTTACCATTTAATGTAATCATTGTTATTATATAGTTTAATTTAACAAAATTGTATTTAATCACTTATTTTGTTATCATTCATATTAAAGTATTAATATTTCATTTAAAAGACAAATGCATTTACCATTTACAATAGCATAACAAATATTGGAAATGAATAACAATTGTATAACGGAATCGCTGCTGATAATTAGCATTACTATTAAAGACCCTCACGTAATTGAAACAATTTATTCGACCTTGGTGAAGCCAATATTACAATATGGTTCACTGATATACAATTATCAAGTTAATTTTTGATAACTTAGATTCTATTCAAAACCAATTTTTAATTTTAAAGTTTCTTCGCTATACCAATCCTTTAAAGCTTCAAAATCTACCTAAACTCGCAAGTCGTATAGAAATGTTAGGCGCATTGCTCTTACAGACCTATTTTGTCGAGTTAATAAAATTTACCTAGGTATTAAAGTTTACCATTCAGTAAATTTTTGTTACCTGTTTGATTTTGTGTAGTAAGTCAGAAAAAATAAAAAACCAAAATGGGTAGGCATATATTAAGCCTGGAATTCATTGAATATGAAGAAAAAAGTGCAAAAAGCCCTATTTTAAGAAGTTTTCGGGACTAAAAAATAGCCCTTTAATTTGTAAGATAACGTTTTCATTCAGCTTTTTTTTGTTGTCCAGGCATATTTTCCATAATAAGGTCTAAATACATATGATTTAATAAACAAATTAATAAAACTTTTTAATTTTTTGTGCACCGTCTTCCATTTCGAAGTGCACATTTTTCTTTTTACTTTATCAACTGGCAAATGTAATTGGACAAGGACGAAAAAAGCAGTGCTGCCCAAGTTTTTTTTCGAATATTGTAACCAGTTCGCCAGAATACCAAATTCAATTTCGGGTGTTAAAGAAAAGTAACAAAATTTACTTTACCGGTAACAGTGAGAATAGGCCTGTTAGTCACACTTCTTAACGGAACAATTTGTAGTTCATGACTCTTGTCTAACTCGTCTAACTAGGTAGTTTGGGCCTTCACTAATAAAGTCATGTAAAACAAATTATGAATTGAATGACGCTTTTCGCAGATTTTTTCACAATTTTAATTTTTAGTTCATCGCCTTCGATCCTTTCAGACTCACTTTTTAGCTTCAAAAAAATATTCTTGCTTCCCTCAACAATTCAGTTTTGAAATTCCATAATTACCAAATTTTAGCTGTTGAAAAATTAAGCATTTCTGCAGCACAAGTTTTAAATCTCGACGCTTGACAAACGCTTCCCAATCATGACTCGGCATATTCTCGTGTCGGTTGGGCTCATTAATAACAATAAATGCGACGTGCATATTATTCTTCGGACATAAACATGAAAATACACATCGCATTTTTAATGAACCATATACTACAAATAATAAAGTAAAAGCCATTGCATCTGTGAGATTATTCATTCAAAAGGGGTGGTTTAAGAGCTTCTGCATCTCGCCCTTTTTCACGCCGGCGGCATTATATTTCTCCTTCTAAACAATTAATACTTCACTCTCATTCCTTATAAGCATATCTTGCATTTCTTTTAGTTTAAATGAGAGCGCTTGAAAAAGTTTCGTCTGCGTCTTCATCCAGTTTCAGAGCTTAAGCAAACGGTGGCTCTCTGCTATACGACGTTGAGCTTATTTGGCCATAATTTATTTTTGTAGAATTTAAAATTAAATAAACAAACAAAACTATTTAATTTTTACTGGGTAAAATTTTCCCAGCATGAATTTGCAATTTCCGCTCCAAACCAAATATCAAAATTGCGCCCTCTCGTTACTAATTTTACGGGCTTTTTGCCCTTTAAACCCGGTTCAGTAAAATTTATTAGAAATTGTTACTGCCTATCAGGTCACCGAAGATTGGAAAAACCGTTGGCACAAGTATATTTTATCTCATGGGGATAACTTTAAACGGGACAAAATAGATATTCATGAATAAATAAATAATTTTTGAAAAAAACACAAAATTCGGGATACTTTTTGAACACACCTCGTATATTCAAACAGTACGTGTTAATCTAGTAGTTAATTTAAAGTTATTAGAAATGCGTACAGAAATTTCGAGCAAAAGCGCTTCATAGGATTAGTTTTTTTGAATGCGGCCAATTTACAAAAATGATTACCCTTGCTAGGCGTTCAAGAATTTATCGGTAAGGCATGCCTGTCTTAAGAGACAACTACAAACCTAGAGTTCCCGGGACAGTCGGGTCTTTATACTGAAACGCTCGGATTTTTATCCTGCCATGGATCGTCACTCCTGCAATATTCCCAAAATATTTTTGCTGCTACAACAACAACAACAAAAAATGGTTCCCTAAAAATATTCTGCAAGACGAAGCTATTTTTGTTCCGGCCGTCAAAGGCCGTCTATTCACAAAAGTGTTCCACGCAATGGATTGCTTACTCTATTGATACTTTAAAAAGCAATTTACTCCCGGCCGACCCAATATTTGTCAATGCTTGTTAATTGAAACCAAATGTTTCTCTTTATTTACAATGAACTACAAAGTTTCACAATAATTTACTTTATGGTTATTAAAACATAAATTTTAGAAATTTAAAAAAAAAAACAATACATATTTTTCTCAATGAGTTTTTCAAAATTTGTCTACTCAAATTATATAAATATGAAGGTATCAAACGAACTAAGATTCAATTCCAAACAAATTTTTGATTTTAGGCATAGGAATTTTCAAATGGCTCAGAGATCAGGTTTTTGAAAATTCTCTAAGTCTTAAAATATTAGTTTGTGCCAAAAAATGTATATCATTACAAGCAAAAAAAATGCGGACCACATCCGCTTTTTCAGTTTCTTCTAACTTGGCGGGCGATACTAATGTCAAATTATTTTTTAATGTTCTCATAGAAAAGGCTGCGTTTATCTGCTTACATATAAATAATTTCTTCTTACTGTGAAATGTCGAAACAATAAATTTCACACTTTTATTTACACAAAATCTTATTTATGAATAAGCAGGTTATTCCAACTTAAAAGAATTAAATATAAGGCCAAATATCTTAGGTTTTCAAAGACTCAACAAGCTTGAATGTGACTTCTGGACTTATATAATTGGCGCTTTGTAGCAGCTGAAGCGATTTTCTGTCGACCTCCCTCTACAATTTGGTTTGCGCTTTTCGATGTTTTTTTCAACAGTGGTAGTTTGTCTAATTTATCTCTCTAGTTTTTCCATAAGTGCTTAATTGGGTTAGAGTCTGGTGATAAATAAATAAACATTGTTCCTCTACCGCTCTCAGCTTGACTGCTTTTGCATTATCATTGTCGTGCACACATCACATCACAATACCCCACCACCCTGCTTTACCGTACCCCACTAATGCACCTTTTGGGCTAAACGGGGTTAGGTTGCCGAAAGAGACAGAGTTTGGCCGGATAAAATCCGCGTCAACATCGGTGCATGGACCCGTCGTTGTGTTGCCATTCAGTGCTACTATCGGGCATTATCTGCAACTATAATTACCGACGGGGTTGGAAAGGTAGACCATGGGCTGTCTAAGTGGTTGTCAATCATCGGTAGAATTCCGTGGTCAAACATCGAAGCTCAAATAGGTTAAACAAGAGGTTCCGCAGTGTGGTGCCCTCTCTCCACTATCGTTTAACTTTTATATTTCTCCACACAGGAGGTGGCTTCTCTGATCTCATATGCCGATGATTGCTCGATATGAGTTTTTGACCAGGTTATTCATTACTTATTGCAACTGCTATTTCGACGACCTTTTGCACTTCTTCACTGCATGTTAACTAAACTGTAACCATCAAAATCCTCGGCTACGCTTTTCCCCTGCCAGGCTCGAAATCTATGTGAAAGTTGATAGCCCAAAACTTCTGACTATAAACAGCCCAAAGTTAATGGGAGTCTCATTCGACAACCTGCACTCGGCAGACGTCTGCAATTGCCCGAAAACTTCCGAGCCGCAACAAAATCCTCAAAGCATTAGCTGACAGCACCTGGCAATTGGCCAGCCGGTCGTAAACTTTGCTGTATAGATCTGGCCGTCGAGTACTAGCGGGACACAGTTGTAGAAGCCGTCCTAAACACCTTCTAATGTCGCTGGAGCATCACTTATAGAGAGAAGCATCTATGCGTAAGGAGCACCCCAACATACATTTATTTAGAAGCCGAACCACAACCCAGGCAATTCAGAAATTGAGTACTTAACCTAAAGGACTGCATTCATTCTGCAAAAATTTCTATACAGCACGGCCTACAGACATGTCACAACACCTTCATGAACTCTCTTCCTGTGAATGGCGATCTCGGAGTCAAATCATCATTATTGCAGACGAAAAGCTTCAGCTGCCTTGAGAGTCCTGCATAATACTTTTACAACTTATGTCTGGATATTGTAGTAGATTAAACTCCTACTTATCCAGACCCGCTCCCGACATACATACCTAACTTATGTTCTGCTTACAATGAGTCCCCGACCGACACTTACCACCTCTTTGCATGTCCTCCTCTGACCCGAACCCGTCGAAACAGCTCGTTTCCTGGACCTCCCAGTAGATGACCTCGATGACCTAGACTGATCTAGCCTGCTCTTAAGCATGGTTGGTAAACCGCTACCTCACAACCAAATCGTGCTTAGCTTAAATAACATTTAATTATATTTTTTAAAATGTCGCTCGAAATCCATATGATAAATTATTATATAAAACACATTATGAATGAAAGTTCAATATAGAATTCAACATTCGTAACTGAGGTATTTCCGGAACATTCCGAAATTTTCTCCTCCCCCGAAAAAACACTACTCGTGAAGGTCGGCCAGATCAACACAAAGTGATCTATGATTAGATATTAACCTTGGATCCGTCCAATGACGAGTGTTGTTTTTGTTACCTCTAAATATTGCGGGAGTGACAGTTCTTGGCCGACAGGGATCTTCCCTGTCGTTTCGATATAAAGACCTGACTGTCGCGGAAACTATTGGACTTCAGTCGCCTCTTTTGACAGGCATGCCTTACCGCGGGTTAATTCTTGAACCCCTAACCAGCAGCGCAGGGGTGAACTAAACACTATCAAACCCATTGCTATGAATAAGAGCTTATATTTCTTCAAGTATAACTTTTCACTCGTTGCACTTGGTGCCACAAATAAATACTTTTTAACGAAGGCATTGGCGAAATTACTTAAAAATGAGTATACATTAATTTCTTTCTTTTTAATTTTTTTAAGGAAATTTGTTTATTGGAGACGTTTATCTTCGAACGACTGGCAGATCTCTTCTTTGAAGACGTGTTCGGCTTGTTGGACAGGATAAAACGTTCGCTAGAGGACTCGAATTATTTTGCAGTTCCGACAGGTATTTGTTACTTGTGTATTTGCCATTGGTATTTCAGTTTCTCCATTTACATTTTCGTAGCACATGCACCTGTGAGGTGTCGTAGAGCTTTTAATTGGAATCGCTGTATTTTATGGTTACTAGTTGCGCAAGCAGCGAGCAAACATCCGTATAGGCTTTATGACAAGGTTTTTATGATTCGAGCATAAACCTGTTGTTGTTTTTTTTTTACCCAATAGTCAAACAGGCTTGCTGTCTTAAGTTTGAATTTGCTGTATTTGAGCAGAAGTATGGCTCATCCATGTCAAACGTCTATCTTCTAAGTTGTTTTCTGGTGTGTTTGCGGCTTTTATTGGGTACTTGGTCCTACAAAAAATAACAGTATCGTCTGCAAATCTTGAGACTGGTACTTTTATGCTCTGAGGAATGTCCAAAAATTTACCTTGAAATGGTCCAATTTTAAAATTTCATTAAAAAGATTTAACTAAACTAAGCATTAACAGTTAAGACAAGGAATTGAAAGTAATTGTAGGAAAATACTTTAGCATTTAGAAGTTGTTATTTTAATTTTTTCAGGTTTTATGTTACTGAATTTTATGTTTCAAATATTTTCTTTTTCGAAATCATTATAATTTTCATTCTCAATCATAAGCTTTTTTAAATTAATTTTATTTAAAAAATAAAATATTAAAGTTTTAATTAAAATAAATTTATAAAGCTTTAATTATTATATACTAATCTATAGTAATATTAGGTAGCTCTGTTAGCATTTCTGGTATTATATAATTTATATTTGTTATGACTTTCATCTCAGATGACGTCGTACTCATAGTCCTTAGGACATAATGAAACAAGGATGAAATCGTTAAATTTTTCATTAATTTAGAAAAGTGTAAGGCGTAAAAGTAGAATTTAAACTATTCTTAATATTTTTTATATTGTATAAGAAAGTTGTATACATTCAGTATTGGCCAAAACTTAAGACCCCCCATGAATTGCTTTAAATAAATGAAATACCTCAAAATATTGCAGTAATATAATACTCTGTGTATACTCATAGAAAATAAAAATATTCATACCATTAAAAAACTGGCTGGAAATATTTATGTTGATTGCAAAAATGTTGTACTGGGACGTCTTATTTTTTATGACTTCAGCACATCGCCATTTTTATGGAGTTATTCAACATTTTGAACATGACCAAAATATGACGAATTTCTTAAATACAATGATAAATTGTTGAATATGATTTGAATTTCGTTCCACTCGCTTTGAAAGTGTGAAAAGTGAAGTTCATGCCCTTTTCTCATCATAAATTTTCAAATGCATAATATAAATTAGAAGCTGGATTAATTATTAATTAAATTTCATTTAAAACAGCGGTTATTGCATCAATGTATCACAAAGAAAATTAACTATTGAATAGTTTTTTAGTAGATAGTTAGTATATTGTGTGACCAAAAATAGCTCACACTAAAAGGAGCTCAACGGTAGTCACCATTTCACCGCATAAACTCACCATAACCTCGAATGAAATGAGCAAAAGTGAGCAATTTCGAATTAATGTGTAAAGTAAAACATATTTTTGAAAGCATTCGCCATAATATAAACGGGAGAACACGTTTACTTACAACTTTTTCTTGTTACTATAATATTTAAAGTGAACTGGAATCAATATAAATTTAAAATAAAAACAAAAGAAATGATTTCTTTGGTTAGATTTTCTTTAAAGAAACGACTCTACATTTATTTTTGTAATTTTAATAAGCAAATTTAAATATAAAAAAAATTTATTAGTATTTCAATACCTACATACACGGTGTGTCCCAAAAATAACCGAACTTTTTGGATTAAAAATAAAGCACACATTGTATTATATTTGAAAGTTATTATTTATTCAAAATAGGTTCCATTTGACTCAACACAACGTTTGGAACGATCAACCAGCGCATGCATAGATTTTTTCATGTCTTTTATAGAAATGTTCTTCAGTACCTCGGTTACGGCTGCTTGAATGGCTGGGATATCATCATAAAATGCTCCCTTCATCTTGATTTTCAGTTTTGTAAATAAAAAATAGTCACATGGTGATAGATCAGGCCAATATGGAGGATGGTCGATGAGAGAAAACCCTTTTTTTCATTAAAAATTCGAGCGATTTTTTGGTCGTCATTTAATTCATCTGAAACAAATCGCGCACAGACCTTTCTTTTCCCCAAATCTTCAGTTAAAATTCTCCAAATAGTGTTTTTACTCGTATTCAATTCCTCAGCCAACATTCTCGTAGTAAAATTTGCATCGATACCAATGATTTCACGGACTTTTTCCACCAGTTCAGCACGATTACTAGTTTCTGGACGTCCTGCTCTAGGGTCGTCATTTAAATCCTCACGACCATTTTTAAATCGTGTAAACCACGTATAAACTTGCGTACGACTCATACAATCATCACAATAAACTTTTTTCATTAATTTTTTTTTTAAAGTTTGACACAAAATTTTATATTTGCTCTTTGTTCCATTTTATTTTTGAACCATTAGCACACTTTTGGTTTTATTGAAATGGCTGTCACTTTTACATCTGTCATCCGACTTACATGATGTTAGGTGCGTTTGAAAGAGGATGAATGTATCTTTTTAATGTTGTATGTTGTATGATTTAAATATAAAGTTCGGTTATTTTTAGGGCACACCGTGTTTCTCTTATTTTGTTTTCTTCGTTTCGTAGCTTTTCTTCCAATAAATTTGCTTTCAGGTGCTTAATTATATGCCATAAAAAATTACATTTGCCAGTTGGTAAAGTAAAAAAGAAGAATATTCACATCGAAATCGAATATGGTATACAACAAAATAAATAAGTTTTTTTATTTGTTTATTAAATCATAAATATATAATATATATATATATATATAAGCTAAATGAAAACGCTATATTCCAAATTAAAAGGGCAATTTGTTTCTCGCAAACTTGTTGCCATGCCCCTTTTTCCACTTTTTCTTCATCTTTAATGAATTCCAGGCCTAAAATATGCTTACCCATTTTGGTTTTTATTTTTACTCAAACTAACAACACAAAATCGAACAGTAGATTTTTTGTTCCCTCCTATTTCGCTGGTAACAAAATTAGCAGGGTGGCAGTGAACTCAGAATACGAAATTGTAACAAAATTAACAGGGTCAGGGCGGCTGTGAAATAGTAAAAAAAATTGCTGAAAGGTAAATTTTAATACCAAAGTAAATTTTGTAACCTCCACAGAGAGAAAAGGCCTGTAAAAGTTAATTTCATGCTTGTCTTCTGTTGCTTTTAGTTTTGTTAAATTATTTGAATTACAACTTTTTATTATAATTTTTTAAATTAATATATTTTGCATATGTTTAAATAGAGATATAAACTATTATACATACATTTATGCATTAGTAAGAAAGTGAAGTGAACACGCCTTGTTTTAACACCAGGTTTTGAAGGCACACTGCCCTTCGTACCCACCAGTGCTGCAGTAGATGCCATGCTAACCATGTTCTACCTGTTTGAAAAGCACGATTTTTCGAAATCCTTTTGGGCTTAGATGGCTATTAGTAAACGAAAGGAAATCAATCGAGCAAAAGTTAAGTTGATTCCATTCGAAAAAGGTACATATACCACAGGCACGTGCTGCAATTCGTTTCGCAAACATGATGCCATGTGCTAAATTTCACTGTTCCGTTTTCGAACATCGCATCGGAATGGTGTGACAAATGCTAGAAATCGAAATCACCACAAAACTTTGAAAATTTGTAGTTATGGGAGCGTCTATTTCCGCGACCGTGATAGCTGAGTGGTTAGCGTTGCATATTTTCATTCGGAAGGCAAGGGTTCCAGTCCAGTTCGGTCCAAGATCCAAAAATTACAGAAAATTAATTTGATTATAAAATTAAGTTATGTTTTCTAATTGCGGTCGCTCTTGGCAGGAAAAGGGAAGTGTTGCGAGTGTATTACTGGCATGAAAATTAAAGCCTCACATAAAAAACTATCAGCTGTTCGAATGCGGCTAGGTATAAATTGTAGATCCCAGCATTTGTTGCCAAAAAAAAATAAAAAGATGTAAACTACAAATTGGAGAAGGAGCTCGCCCTCTTCTTCTGCTTCAAGGTTGCAATGCGCCAATTATATATGTATATAATATATAGTATATGTAGATGGCAGCGTCCAATTATTTATTAAATTTTAATATGTTATATCTACCTCATAAGTGATTTATAAACTGTTACTAATTATTTATTCGTATGATCGTATGATATTTCAGAAACTTACAAAAAAATTATAAAATCATTCGCTTAAAATATTTTTAATAAATATATAGCGGAAAACGAAAAGATATTTTAAAAACTTTGCTTAAATATTATATTTAATGAATAATCAGCTCTCCGTAGTATTTCGATATGCACTCACCACCTCTCTAACTTTTAAAATTATCTTAACTATCATATTTTTTTTCGCATAACAAACTGATAGCACTAAATTAAGTGATTTTTGCTATGTACCAGTATAGCCTAAGCGGCAGCTAAGCGGAATGAGAGCAGAGCACATGAAATTTTTTTCATTCGCTGCGGCCCAATTTTTCTGCAATCATTTGATATTCTATTAATGTTATGGCCAAGAATTTAGCTTTATTATACAGATAAAAGTTTGCCAATATGTTTTAAAGAAGAATACGGGCAAGTGGCCGCCTCGTGCTGGTGGTTCGAATAAATAAATTTCATTCAGCAGAATATTCTCATTAAAGACCTCAATCGTCTTGGGCTTATCTGTGCAAAACAAGCAACTTCACATAATAATATAAAAAATATCACGTCGCTGTTAAAACAATCTTAGAGTTTCCTTCAATAAAAAGATTGTTTTTTCCGCTATATGGCATGTATTGCCGTCTTGTTGGAACCAAATTACGGCTCTATAGCGTACTCCATTGACTAACATGGCCTACTTCATGATATTCCCTCTGCCCAAAGACCACATCAAACAGTGACTTAATGAAGCCGCGATAGCCGAATGGTTAGCATTGTATACTGCCATTCGGAAGGGTTGGGTTCAAATCATGGTATCTTACTAACATCCAAAAAGTTATAGAAAATTAATATAAATAAAATATTAGGTAAAATTTTCTAATTACGGTGGCCCACGGCAGGGAATGTCAAACCCCTTCGAGTGTATTTTTGGCATAAAATAAAGCTCCTCATAAAAATTAGAGGAGCTGGGCCGAAAATCGCTTCATCAGTTACAAATCGACAATTATTTTTATATACATTAAGAGTGATTATAAAATATTTGTAGATAGTTCAAATCTGAATGTGAATTATTTGAATGAACTCGATCAGCAAAAATCAATACGGTTTTCTATAAAAAATGTTCAAGCAGCACTTATGAATAATTGTCATAGCGCACGCTAAGGAATTGCTCGGCTTTTACGCACTGAGATGCAAGGAAGCGGATGCCGAAGATGTCGGAGCGTGCCTTCCAACAAAGCTTCTGCTTAAGTCTACAAATGATGCCATCCATCGGGCTATGGAATGAACCAAGCCAATCAAATATCTGGTCCACTTCCGAAAATGTTTATATATTAGTCCAAACCATAGAAACTATCTTTTCAAATGGATCGTTTCTAGATACTATTCCTGGAAACAAAAGAAATGTTTCTGATAGTCCTAAACAAATTTCAAGTAAATCGAACTTTAAATTCAAATTTTCCGAATAAATCAGTCCCAGGTCCTGCTGTGAAAAATGCACATAAAATTTCATTAATCTCTTTCGAATATTAAGTACCACAAAAAATACGAAAAATGTCAAAAAAAAAGTAATCACGTTTGAATAAGAATTAAATTCTCTGAAACGGACAATTGAAGCCAAGAGTTCATTCTACGAAAAAATATGGTAGTTAACAGGCACTTCTCCAGCCTGCGTAATGGCAGTGAAAGTGATGGTATCGATGAGGATGGCTGAGACGTGTAAACTAGAGCTCAACAATGCCAAAATGTCTACCAACATCGGTAAGGTGTGTTCGATAATAAACGAATTTTCAGGCAAACTCTTCATAGGGACTTCTTTAATTTAAAGCTGAAGAAAAAAGTTGCAACTGCCGAGCTAAATAGAGCAGGTACAATCTTCCACAAAAGCGTACAACTATCGTTGACGACATCTGTTTAGCCAAGTGAGCTGTGCGGAATATGCTACATTGACATAGTTCAATGAATTACGGCTACGCTAACTACAATAGATCATGCTCTTTATATACGCAACATCGATACAGCTACGAAAGTAGGCGCCAATCACGAAGAAGACATTTTTTGGCATGTGTAACTGCTCAAATTAGAAGAAAATTTTTGTTGCGTCCTCTTCTCTAAATGTATAGAGAGAGTTCAACCCATAGTAATGCTCCGTCCGCTAAATTTCAATATGCTCTGAATTTTTTTTTTAATAGATATCTACCTTGGTTTTTATAGAAAAAGCCACAAATTATCGTAGTAAATCTGTTTAAGCGTGAGTCATAGAGATTGTAAAATATTTCGTTTATGTTTGCGAATGATCCTTCCACACAAATCTATCTCTTTTGCGCGATCGATATACGTTTTTGAACACAACTTTTGAATATAACATTTTTGCAGACTACGTTATTTCGGCTCCTACATAACTGTTGGCAGTAATAACTGTGGAGTCGTAGATAATTTAATCAGTCCCAGCACCAATACCAGCCTTAAAATCTAACACAAAATCACTCTCGCCAAACTACAAATCGCGGTCTGCTCTATGGTGCAGAAGGGTGGACAATGTCTACATCTGATGAGTCGGCGTTTAGAGTTTTCAAGAGAAAGAATATTCAAGCCCTTTGTCTACCTTTGAGTATTGGCAAAGGCGGAATACCGTAGACGATAGAGCAGACATATAAGACATAGTTAAGTGAAATAAGAGACAACGGTTAAGCTGACGAGGTTCTGTCGTCCGTAATGGCAATCTGGAAAGGTAAGGTGAAGAAGGACCTGGTTTCACTGAGTGTCTCAAATCGACGATGATTGGCTGAGAAAAAGCAAAAAGAGCTCTGTTGAGAAGAAGAAAGTCATCAAACACAACATGAATGGGAGTGGGTTACAAACATACATGCATACACATATACAGGTGAAGTTAATATGAGCGTGTTAAATAAGGACGATAATTTTGATGACAAACTCTTATTTTGGTATCGTCTAGTTAGTTTTTAATAACTGAACATGACTAAAAGTAGAAGGGCACTGAAATAAGCCGCATCGAATCCACTACCATATTCTACCTTATACGTTCGAACTATTCGATTTCAGTTTAAAAAGGAAATATTTCAGCATTAATGAAGCGAAGTAATTTAAAAACTACAGAAGTTCCCATTAAAATTGCATGTTGACATTTAGCAACGGACTATGCTGAGGGAGGAATTAGAAAATTGTTTAAGAACGGAACGGTACAAGAACCTTCTACTGCTCGACTAGATAGATTACAGTAAAAATAATTACTTCTGTATTTAAGATGAACCTTTTTTGTATGCTATCGAATTGAGATAGGACATTAAGGAAAAACATCACCTTATAAACTTCATAATTATGTTAAGAGATTAAAAAAATTGGTAATCTTGGGATATATAACTTAAAGTATATATTTTTTCTTTGTAAATAATTAACAATTTTAAAAAATGCTTACAAGCCTAACATTGAAATTTATTTCTTTTGCCATTTTAGTAAAAAGTTAAGGTTGTCAATTTCTTCCATCGCAATCGTTTTCCTGGTACCCTTCTGCAACTACTTTTAGTAGATTAAGCGCCTCTAAATTCAAAATGACAGCACCGGATGTCATAGAAGAGACTCTACTCAATAACGATGAGTTCTTTAGCCTCATCCCACATCTTGAGCTAGAAGAACTTTTAATGATTCAAATAAATAAGGATGGAGCATGGGATTTTTTATTTAAAGCTTCATTTGATAAGACGAATGAACTAAAAACACTAACATGTGTTGCGTGCGATGAACTTTTGGATTATAAAAAATTTAGCATTCATTTAAAACAAAATTCACATGAATTGGCTATGAAGAATATAAAACAATTTTATCATCCTTATTACACGAATAATGACGACGAGGAAAAAAATGAAAATGATGCTGATGCTGCTGCTGCTTTAGAAAATGACAAGGAAAATAATAAAGAACAAGCTAACTCTTCGCCTTGTTCAGATTCGATTACCATATCTAAATCAAAATTAATTGCTGAAAGTATTCGAAAGTTTCAAGGTGATTTAAAATTGGATAGCTTCAAAGATCCTTTATTGAAAACGGTTTTAACAAAAGATGTTATGAATCCTGAGGATTTTTTGGTAGAGGTAAAATTGCCACTTGACGATTTATTAAATCTGGAGTTCTGTGTAGAAAAAGACAAGTGGTTTCGAATGGTAACCGTGAACAAAATAGCACACACAAAGTTTTATTGTGCTTTGTGCTCAAAGTTCTGCTTTGGTATTATTACCGTAGAAGACCATTTGAAAGGATATACACATAAAAAGGCACAAATAGGATGCATTGGAATTCGAAGCTCACGCTATAAAGATCTTACCAAAAATTGCATTTATGGATACGGCGAAGAATTCGCTATCAAAACAAAAAGGCAATTAACAAAATCCTTAGTAAATAAGAACGATGAGGTCAAGGAAGAAAACGATGATGAAATCAAACAGGAACAAATAGACAACCCCAATGAGGAAACAAAACCCACTTTAGCTGCTGACATAGCAGAAAAAGTTAAGAACATAAAGGAAAAAATGCATTCACAAAGCAAGGATAACGTGGAAGGTTTGATAGGAGTAGAATACGTTATTAAGATTTTAAAAACGCCGACAGACAAGTATCCAAGGTATGAATGTTGCCTTTGCGAGACTGTCTTGAACGAAAATCGGATGCAAGGTCATTTGACTGGATACAATCATCGGCTTAAATATTGCGAACTGCATTATCCTGATACTATAGAAAAATTTAAAGATTTAATTGGTCATTGTAAATATATGGATTACTTCAATGCAATGAACTATGCTCTATCCAAAATTGCCTCGGCAATTGAGCAGCATCATGGTCGTAGCACTCCATATGTGGTTTCATCAACTACGTTTACCAAAATGCGGTCAGAATTAATTGCAGAATTATATAGTTATCCAAATGCTTGTCAGCAACATGGACCTTCATTTATAAACGTTATCGAAAAACAGGAAATCAAAAGTGTGGCTAGCGGTCAGACTGATTACGTTGTTCAAAATAATAATCATGCTAGATTCGTAGAAAGTCCAGAGGATAAAATGTATTTACGAGTATATCGTAAATGTCATGATCCCAAACTTAGAAATGAAGAGAACTTTGTTGCTACTAGAAAAAGAAAGCGCTCAAAATCTCCGCCTTCTAAAACAAAATATGCAAAATCCATGTCACGATCACAGCCTCCTGTTTCGTCCAAGCAATATTCTCAGAAATCAGCTAAAACAGTTAATAGGTCTCCGCATTATGACGATGAAGTAACTGTTACTATCTCTGAGATAGAACGCATGTACAGGGAGTATCGAAAAAATCCTGAAAGCCATCCGCTTTACGATGAAGAATGGAATGATTTTTGGAGGCAACGAAAGGAACAACTCATTTCACAAGGAATTGATCATCGATCTTATAACTATCAACCAGAATGGGTTAAATATTTTAAAACTCGATTAGAGGAACTATTTGAGAAGGAATTATATGATTCGCGAATGGAAGTACGTGATCGTTATTCCAATTATGAAAACAAATCTGTTACAATTAATAACTTATCTAATAAAAGCAAGAATGTTCATGGTGAACATCCGTATTCTCACTCTACACGTTCCAATCATTTGGAAGAAACAAAGGACGTAACGGATGGTAAACCTACTGTAATCCATGTACTTCGTCTTTTAACAGCTTTAGAAGAATATCTTGGTAGTTTGGGATCTAAAGTAATGGATTTACTTTCGAAAGCTTTAATATTTGAGAAAAATTGTTCTAATAGTATCGAATTAGAACAAAAAATTTTGACATATGAAAATTGCACTCTACTGGAAACAGCAGTCGAGAAGTTGAAAGGAATATTATTCGCTGGTTTACTTGATGATAGTAAGATACAAGGTTTTAAACGAATTATCGAATATACTTCAGATTTATTGAAATATGCCGATAGAATGGGATGGCGCAATTTGCAATCACAGTTTTCTAATAGAAACGATAAGCCGGAGTATCGAAAAAATACAAATGATGCTTCACAAAATATTAAAATCAACCCTAATCAAAAGACACTTTCTGATACACTAATGGATCTACTAGCAATGCAAAAGAATAATAATGAAAGTATATTGCCCGTCAATAACAATTCAATGAAACCATACTCTAATGAAAGACGTGAAATACCCAACTCAGAAGTCGGTCAGTATTTTATGAATACCCAGCCAAAAAATAGTTATTGGCAAACTATGGGAAGTAATACATCTGTCTTTCTTAACAAACCGCAATTTATGGAAAGAAATTTGAATGGATCATCAATGGGTAATCATACAAATAACTTAAATAAGGCATATAACCAGCCACCAATGGCATATAACCAACCAGCAATGGCATATAACCATCCAGCAATGTTTCCTTCCATGCAAATGACCGGAAATAGATCTAATTACAATTATAACCAGACGGGAGGAGTCAACAATTTTCATTAAAGGATTTCTTTGGTAACGTAAGGGAAATTATCTAATATAGCAATTTATATTTCAGATGTATTAAGTAAATTTGCTGTTATAATAAAATGTGTGAAGTCTTAAAAGAAATGTTTTTTTTTTCGTTGTTTGTGAAATTTATTTCACAAGTATAGGTTTTTATTGATATTGCTTTACTAGTATAATTGTCTTTGAATCGTACATGTTTTTTTTATTCTTGCCTGTCTTGTTTAGTAAAAAACTTTATTGTAAACAATATTCTAGCTTTATATTACTCATGTTTGTTATTATATATTTCGCATTTTTAAACTAATTATTTTGCTGTTTTGAGCCCAGGCGAAAGGAAAAGGACAATTAAAACTACCATTTATTAGTGCCTGGAACATATTTGTGTACGCTACCCCGACAAAATATATAGAAATCGCTCATGGTGACTTTAAATGGCGAAACATACCCAAATGGTTTGAGACTAATAAACTTCTCCGCGATTCGAAATATGATTGTCTGTGCTACAAAGTTTCAGCACAAACAAATTCATCAAGCTACATGGTTGATTGAACAACTTGAGTCGCTAATCCATGAGTATGGACAGATGTACTATCACCCGACTATGAAGAAGTCAAAAACTGTCAGGATGGCAATCGTCAGCCTTAAGAACAACAAGGCGATGGGAGTCGATGGTTCACCAGCTGAACCGTTGTTGTAACCGTAAAGTATTCCTCAAAATAATATTTGGAATATGTAGATGGAGTTACAATCCTTGGCCAGTATAAAGACCCGACTGTTGACGATCAAAAACGAAATTCTACAATTCGCTCATCATATTGTCATGCGATATGGTTCAAAATAATGGCGGATAACGGCATCTGGCGCTAGAAGTTTTCAATAGAAAGGTTTTGAGAACGACTTATGGACCTATGCGAATTATTATATTATAACTCAGCGAAAGCGTCCGATGCAAAGCCCGTCGGTGAAAGCAAGAGAAAGAGTTAGTTGAAATATCATGTCGGCAAGGGCGTGGTTTCACTGGAATATCAATTAGCGCCGACATGCTATTGTTAACTCGGCTATTATCATGTAAGCGGTATTTAGAAAAAAATAAAAGTTCATCTTTCGTCATTTTTCGATGCTAGCGGCTGATATTTTTATCATTTGATATCCTACAAACTTTCATATGTGTTTTCAATTTCTGCTGCACCAAAAATAAAAGTAAGAATTATACTCGGTACGAAGAGGTTTTAATCGAAGATCTCACGTGCCACTCGGCAGACATCAAAACATGAAACTCATCCGTGGCTTCCTAGATGTAGCAACAACATATGAAATGCGAGGTGTTGGAAATTGGAAATTGTATGATATAGTGTTCAGCTTCCGATGGTTTTCAGTGACAAGTTTTTTTTGTAGCTAAGCATGTAAAGGGTAATTTTTTAAGAGCTATAGGAAAGTTTAAAAAAAATCTCATAAAGTTCTGAAAAATGTCTGAAATCTTTATTCGAAGCGATAGTACGGTCTATATAATTTAATGTTTGAAGTTGATCGTGACTGCGCCTCAAATGGTCCATCCGCTTAGTCCACTTTTGTCATACTCTTTCCTATATTTCGGCCGTTATCTCAAGAGTAAATGCTTCAACGTTGTCTCCCAACGCGTCAATTGAAGCGCGCTTGTCTGTATAGACATTAGATTTAACATAGCCCCACAAAAAATATTCTAAAGGCTTTAAATCGCACGATCTAGGCAGCCAATTGAGCGGTCCCGAACGTGAAATAAAATGTTCACCGAACCCACCTCTCTATAAGTCCATTGTTACGCTGTGTGGCATGTGGTAACGTCTTGTTGAAACCACATGTCATGCAAGTCAAGCTCTTGTATTTTGGGTAAAAAAAAGTTTGATATCATCTCACGGTAGCGCTTACATTCACAGTTACATTACGATTCGCATCATCTTCGAAGAAGTACGATCCAATGATGCCACCAGCCCATAAACTGTACCAAAGTGTGACTTTTTCTGGATGCATTGGTAGCTCTTGCAATGCTTATGGCTCATATTCACTCCAAAATCGACAATTCTTCTTATTTGCGCACCCTTTAAGTAAAAAATGAGATTCGAAGCGCGCGATGAACTTTCTTAAGGGGGGAAGCTGATCTAGAGCGCATTAAAAAATGGGCATATTTTAGGAACTTATTTTGACTCAACAAAGGAATTAATAAAAATCTGTGAAATAGGTTTAATAATATAGGTTTCATGGTACAAATACAAAATTTTTCGTGTGAATTAATTCTCCGAAGACGCATTTTTTTCTAAGGGGTCTATGGCCAAAGATGTAAACTCCTTAATTTTTGTCCAGGATCAAAAAATATTTTTTTTTAGTTTCTATATGGTGCACGTTTGAACAAAAAGTTACAATTTTCACTATAAAATAATATATAAAATTGTTGATTAAAAAAGTATGTAATATAAAAAAATTCTACGTACGTCTTCGGAGAACGATACTTCGAATGTACTGTCAAAATTTCGTAAGAATCGGTGAAGATTTGTTCGAGTTATGTCTTCGGCCAGTTTAAAAAAAAGTGATTTCGAGAAAAACGCGTTTAAAATTGTAGATCGCTCGGGGCGTACCTGCGAGGCACTGCCGCCGAATGAAAAATTTGGGCATTTATACATTTTTGCCGGCATCCATCTTTTGGTATGTTATTTCTGAGACCCTAAAGCACCTTTTAAGACAAAAATTTTTTTCGATTTTTTCAAAATTCTAGACCAGCTTCCCCCCTTAACGGAGCACGCATTTTGATAATAAAATTCAATAATTTGTAAGATTTTGTAAGACGATTCATGGTTAAATTATAGACCAAACATCGCGAATTTTGTGTTTTTCCGATATTATTTATTTATTCATGAGTATCTATTTTGTTCCTTTCAAAGTAATCCCCATGAGATAAAATATACTTGTGCCAACGGTTTTTCCAATCTTCGAAGCACTTCAAAAAATCTTTTTTTTTTATCTTGTTCAGCTCCTCTTTCGATGCCGTTTTTATCTCGTCAATCGTAGCGTAACGTCGTCCTTTCATGAGCCTCTTCAGTTTAGGGAACAAGAAAAAGTCACAGGGGGCCAGATCTGGAGAATACGGTGGCTGCAGCATCATTAGTGTGTTGTTTTTGGCCAAAAAGTCGCGCACAAGCAACGATGTGGGCGTTATCGTGGAGCAAAATCCAATTTTTATTCTTCCCCAAATCCGGGCGTTTCTGGCGGATTGCTTCGCGCAAATTGCGCATAACTTGCAGGTAATATTCCTCATTGACCGTTCTACCCTGTGGCAAGAACTCATGATGCACCACGCCCCTGCAATTAATTTTTTCGTCTGTTGTGGAAGTGCTCGGGCGCCCGGCACGCTCTTCGTCGTTCACTTCTTCTCGACCTTCTGAGAACATTTTGTACCAAGGATAAACGTTGCTTCGGTCTAAGGTAGCTTCTCCGTATGCCACAGTCAACATTCGGAATGCATCCGCGCACTTAATTTCGCTTTTCACACAAAATTTGATACAGGTTCTTTGATCCATATATTAATGAATAGGTAAAAATCGAAGACCATCCATGCATCCGTGCAAGCAAAGCAGCTGTCAACAATTAAGTGAACATTCAAAATGGCTGAGCTTGTCGGCATAAGTGACAGACATGAGTACCAACATAACGCCACAAAAAAATCGAAATTCGATTATACGTCACCCGCGAAAATTCAAAATTCGCGGTACTTTTCGAACACACCCCGTATTCTAAACAATATTTGTATTCTCTGGTGATAAAATTTTTGTGGGAATAAAGTTTCGCGCGGCTTCGAAGTTGCAATTCAGTGTTCTCTTCGCAAATCTAATTTAGCCATATTTAATCTTTCTTTCGTATCATTTTCATTTAATTATTTTATTACTTAAATTTTATTACCATCCGTTGGTAATTCCCATTTAGGACATTCATCACGTAATTCGTTTACTCTTCGACACGAATATATCATCTTTGGATCCTGTCATAAATCGTTGCTAGTCTTTTACCTTAACGCACTTTTGCGCTCTTAATTTTGATCATGTACTCGTAAGCGAAGATTTTATTAGATTTACATCTTTCGTTTTGGTCTAGTTGCAATTGCCAACGTAGTGCTTATGACACATCTCAACGTTTATGAAATTTCTCATATACACCTGCACATGTATTCATGCGAACTCGTTTAAAATCCCATTAGGAGGAGTAAGCACAACCCGTTTGTAGCACTTTTAATACTACTTGTTATGTTATATGGACCACAATAGTTAGATTGGAGCGGTCACTTATTTCAGGTTGTAAGTATTCGCATTTCTTTACTTACACCAATACATAAACGGTAGGGTTACTAGAAATACTGACGAACGCAAAGATAAGTTCTGTGTCAACTCCTCAATCGAAGTTATGGGAGCACCATGTAAATGAAAACTCACGACCGTATGCGTGAGCTGAAAAGTTGAAATTTTTTCCGTAGAAACCGCTTCTCTCCCTTCTCTGCTCTTTTCCCCTTATTTGCTTATGCGTATGTGTAAACATCGTTGTAGATATACGAATGGCTACGTTATGTTCACACACGCACTTTGATGTCGCTGCATTTTCTAATTATTAATCTATTAACATATGCATTTACATATATGTAATGCAAAGAAAACAGCTAACTTTTTTTTGACAAATTAAACAGGAACTCGGTTTAACGAGATATCCCTTTATCGAGGCACAACAAAGTAAAATTCGAATAAAGGCGGCTTTTAACGGGTGATCCAAGTAGAGATACTCTTTTTCCCATAGCCTTTTTTTTTTTTTTTTTTTTTTTTTTTTTTTTTTTTGATAGTTCACGCGTGAGTCGTATCAAGCTGTCATATTATTCTTCTTGGGTATTGTTCGGAATTTCATCATGGAAAGACTTCGCATGCTTCGCTCAACTTATCTTGATACCCATCATATCGGAAGGACATATGGAACTTTTGCACATTTTACGTCAAGATCTTAAATTGAAAGTGTACAAAATATTGCTTGTGCAAGAACTAAGGCCGCTCGACCTTTCCAAAACATCGCTTCGCTTTATGGGCTCTTGAAAAGTT